GGGTGCAGGGGGCTGAGCTAGCAGGAGGCAAAGGATGTGGGGCAGCATGTCTTCACAAGAGCTGGGGGGGCGGTGGGAAGCAGCTGGGGAGCAGGAGGTCTAGAAAGGTGTTGCAGTAGGAAAAGGTCAGGGAAGGAATTGGCGGGGACCTGGAAGCAGAGGGGTTTGTTTCCTTGGGTGGCAGCCCTGGGGCTGGGAGCAGAAGGGAGCCCTTCATACAGGAGCACCGCGGCGGCGGCGCTGAGTGTTGGTTTTTTATCTCTGCTTTGGATGACTTTCCTGTTGGTCCTGTGCGTATTTACAGTTTGTTTTAACAATTGTTTTCTTCCAATTGCTCAGTGGTTTCTTATTTTCCTGCCTAAACAGAGCTGCTTCTTTTGTAACAAGGGCCAGTATTGCAGCTTGTGCTTCCTCTTGCCCCTTTGTGGTGGTGTGACAATGGTGACAGACATCTATTGTATAAGCAGTAGCTGTGCTCTGCGCTTGTTTTTTTCCAGGGAGCTGTCCCATTCAGCCTGCAGAGTTCCTGGGAACACCAGATCATGAGGACAGAGCACCCTTTGTAATGGGGAATTCGTCTGCGACACGTGGAGGTGATGATGGGGGTCTTGAGCGAGAAGAGTTTTTATTTAAACTGATTGGGCTTGAAAAATTGTATATACTTACCCAAATCCTCTACCTTTGCCTTCTGATCGGGAGTTCTGATCTCCTGTGGATGATGAGACTGTTGTCAGTTTTGAGGCTTCCTTCGTAGCTAAACCAGTTGCACACTGAAGCATGTCAAGTGTTTAACAAGACCCTTTGTATGCTAGACCTGCATTAATTTATTTTTTTGTCCTGCAAGGTGAAGACTGCCTTATTTTTATGACCTGCAGTCTGTACAGCAAATACAGTAAGATCATAAGAAGTGGATAGAGTTGGATTATCAGAATTAGATCCAAACCCAGAATGAGTCCCTGTTAGTAGCGCAGGGATTATTATGCCAGGTTAATAGTGCTGCTTCCGTTTTTATGTGTTTATTTTTAAAGCTGTGTTTAGTGTAAGATTTCATAGTAGCTGTGTGCAAATCTTACAGTTTTAAGGTGCTCATGTTTTGAAACACTCTTGGTGTAAACACCGCCCTTGGGACAAGCAGTCGTCAGCTGTGTTGGTGACTTCAACTTCTCCGAATTAGGAAGGAACTCCTGCAAAGTACTGATGTGCTCGGTGTCTTTACCTCCTGTTGTGGATGAAATGGCAGCTGCTCTCAGCGTGGGGCTGCTTGGTCCAGTCTGGGCGTTGGAAGCCTTCAGTCCTGCACTCAGAGCTGTTAGCCTTGAGCTCTTCCACTTCTGCTTGTTAACAGGGCCAATTGTGTTTAAAATGGGATCCCCTGGATCGTGTTTAATTATCCTGCTCTCTGGCTAGCGCAGCAATCTGTTATTTTATTCTGGACAGCGTCAACTGCTTATTCCTAAAATACTTCTACAGAGAGCATTGTCCTTGTGTCAAGCACTGGAAGGGGCTGCCCAGGGCAGGGGTTGAGTCCCCATCCCTGGGGGTATTTAAAAGCCGGGCAGCCGAGGTGCTTAGGGCCAGGGTTTAGTGGTGGGATGGCAGGGTTAGGGTAACGGCTGGGCTTGGTGATCTTAAAGGGCTTTTCCAACCTCAACGATTCCGTGATTCTATGAGAGTAGACTGTCCTCCCTTTACACAAAAAGGTGGAGGAATGGGATATGAAAGAAGAAATGCAAGACCCTTTGTTCCCAGTCCCTCATCTCTTGGCTGCTGGTGTTTCAGTTCCTGTGTTCATCTGAAAGGGCTTTGGGTCGGGCTGGGTAATGTGGGATCTTGAAGGGCTTGTCCCAGGGCTCCCAGTGGTGGCATTGCAATGGGGAGGCTTGTCCTAGAGCTGCTCTGGGATTTGGAATTGACATGCTTTACTTGAAACAAAAAACAAGTTACAAATTTTCTGCATTGTTACCGTGACACTTGGGAGTCACGGGAATGCATTTCTCCCTTCACTGGGATCACAAAGGTCTTTGGCAGTCTTTCCAAGTTACGCTTTTTGGTTTTGATGTTAATGATCAATAAGATGCAAGTCCATTAATGTGTGTGGGCTTTTTTTGGTTTTGTTTTACTTTTTTCTTTGTATTTCCTTAAAATTGAAGCATATTTTTCTTTGCCTTAAAGCAGCAGTCTGATTTACCTGTCAAATCCAAAGACCTTCCTGGGGATTTCGGGGTTTATACTTCAAACTTTGATTTGAGTAAGTGCAGGAGAAGGCTGGGGGAGCTGAGCGCTGAGCTGCAGGTCCCATGTCAGACACTGGTGTGAAGGGATTCTGCTGGAGGGGGAGGCAGAAGGGATGCAGCTGCTCATCTCCCGAAGTCCAGGAGGTGAGCCAGAGGGAAGGGTGAGGGGGAGGCAGGGGAAGAGACCCCGATGTAGAGCAGCTCTGTGGCCCTGCTGCGGGGTGGCCCTGGGGGCTGGCGGCTGGGGGAGCCCTCCCTGGGGCTGGGAGGGCGATTGTGCGTGGTTGCCAAAACAAATTCAGTGTCATCTGAATTCTGAGGTCTTTATTTCCACACTGCCTTCACAAAAGTATGAATGGTGAAAGTATGAAAACCATGTCGTGTCTGGCAACTTGTGGAAGGGGTGAGGGAATGCTTGTTCTTAGGTGGCTTAATTGGAGCTGTGCATTGCTCCATGCCATGCTTTGCACACTGGCATTTATAAATGGCCACGCTTGACTGCAAGTAAATCCATTTCATGCTTCCATCTGAATGCGTGACTGCTGCAAAGCACTGCTCTGATGAACTCTTTTGCATAGGATGGTGTCAGTGAAATTAATGTTTTGCGGCATTCTTGAAGTGCATGTGAGCAGTAGTGATCAGATCCCTGTCTCAGGGGCCTGTGCTCTAATTTGGGGCCTGAAGCAAAACCTGGAGGGAGTGGCAGGGGCATGGGTGTGCGACTGGAGCACGAGCTGCTTGGGGCCCTGAGCCCAGCCCTGCACTCTGTCCACTACACTAGCATTTCTTGACTCTCCTTTACCAAACTGCTTCATGCTTGCGGCATTCCCCTGCCCCTTTGTCCCTCTCTCTTTTGAACCCCAGTGATGGCTCTGCTAGCGTAGCAAGAAAACAAAGTCTTTTTATGGAACAAAATCTTATTTCTGCTGTTTACAAGGATGAATTCTCCCAGCAGTCAGCACTGACTCCTGTCAGTGCCTTCCGGCAGGCATGACTGCGCCGCTGCGAAGAGCCTGGGAAGGAGCATGCTTGTTTGGGAACACAGCACCCAACAACCTATGTTTGGTGTCCGGGTCCCTTTCCTGCATGGGAGAGGTGGCTGAGGGGTGCTTGCTCCGGCCATGAGCCCTCTGCCCGTTACTGCCGTGCTCCGCCATGCTGAGGAGCTGCCAGCAGCTCTGCCCACCAGTGCCGGTGTGGAGGAGGGAGCGCTGCATGTGCGCGCAGCAACCCTGGGAGGTGTCATCTTTACAGGCTTTGCTCTCTCCTTACGTGTTGAAGAAAAGTGGTTGATCAGGATGAACTAAGGCTTCAGCCCGAAGGGTTGGAGTAGCTGCCAGCACAGGACAGATGTCAGGCAGCGGTCAGTGGGGTGGTGCTTCTTGCCCAGGCTTGTTAACTGCGGTGGAGAACCTGCTCTGGTCCTGGCATGCTGCACTCTGCTGTGCTCCTCTTGTCTTTACTTTTTGAAGTGGAGTAATAAATGGCTTTACAGAGAGGGCCTGGCTGTGTGGAGAGCTGTCTGCGCTGGCCCCGGGGATGACTGGCTGCCTGTGGAGCCACCAAGCTGTCCCTGGGCCTCCGGAGCCCCAGCATCTCCCAGCTGCCCTGCAGGGCAAAGGAGGAGCATTTTGTCCCACCCTGGTTGCTTTGACAGACCTGCTGACTTTAGAACTCCCCTTTTTCTGCCTTTCGGAGAGCTGTGGTAAAACTCAGCCAGTGGAGTTCTCATCTGTCCCAGCCTGTTCCAGAACCTCGTCCTCGATGCTGGACGGGAGGCAGGCGAGCAAACCCTGGGCTGGTGCGGAGGGGACCACGCTGTTCCTCCACAGCAGTGTCCTGCACTTATGGGGAGATGCTGCAGGGCCTTGCTGCTGCCGAATCCCTGGCTCCTGGCAGTAAGGGTGGGTTGCTGGTTGTGCTGCTGTGCCAGCGCTTTGCATGCTGCTGCGGGGAGGCAGGCGGCATCGCTGCGAGTCTCGGCGGAGGGGGAAGGCGCGTTGCTCTGAGTCTCACTAGTTTTCTTTTCTCCTGCCTGCAGCAGCTGAACCCACATGTCCTGAGCGCTGGAAGCCGTGCAGGTCTGTTGGCAGCAGCCAGCGGCAGGGCCCTGGCCAGGAAAGAGCGTAATGGTCCCTGCTGGCAGCCTCCCTGCTGGCACTTTCACCTGGGCGAAGGGTCACTGCTGGCCTTGGCTTTGTCCCCGGGCCTGGGGGTGAACAGAAGGTCTGAACTGCCCTCTTTCCTGGGTATTGCTTTTCCCAGAAAAGAACATCTTGCTTCAGAGAGGGGAAATTGCTGTTTCTGTGTGTGAGCGGAGGGAGTAATTAGGTGGACACTCTTCATGAGATATAGAAGTTGCCCAAACATGTAACTAAGTCTGTGGGTTTAAAAAAGAAAAAAAAAATAATCTGATTGAGTGTAACTTGATGATATTCAGTGGAAGATAAAGAATGGCCTTTCTTTCCTGCTCATGTGTGTCATTGTGTCAGGTCTCTAACGAGCTGGCTTCATCCGTTCACGTACAAAACCTCTTCCACAGCTGCTTCCTACCAGAGCTGCACTGGAAAATAGCAGACTGACATTTTTCCTTTCGTTGTCTTTGTGCTCTGGAACAATAACAGCAGCAAAGGAGAGGCCAGTAGTTCAGCCATGCTTGGCTTTATTTATTGCATCTGTTTAGAGCAATAGATGAATGATTATTAAACTTTCAGTGGACTGATAAAAATGATAATGCGTCTTTGCTGTAAATCTGCTTTATAGATGGACAGGGACTTGTTTGGTTATAGGGTGCTTGCATTAGGGGTTTAGATAAGTGTATGCGATCGATATGAAGTTATGATTTTCCCCCTCTTATCTCTTCTGATGGTGCCACTTCCATTCAGGGTGCCTGTATGCTGGTGCTTGCGCTTCTGGGGGAAGGGAAGATTTCAATCCTGCCAGACTTAGGGGCTGAGCTGAGGAAAGGGGCTGGAGGTGCACAGCTGTACAGTCGTGGAGAGGTGTTGGGAGGGAAGCTTTGGAGACTGCTCCTGATATCTCACATCTGAAACAGCCACTCCAAAATTGCTCGCGACCAGTTCTTAATACCCTCTGGTGATGGACGGAGTCTGCCACCTGTACTTACAACAGATTCAGATTAGGGGCAGAGGATTAAAGGCTATGGGGGGTTGGTAAACATGGTGGTTTTAATGTGTTTTTATGTGTTTTTTAAACCAATAGCTTCTTAATTCTGTATCTGCAGCCAGTTGCAATTGCTGTTGCTTTACTGCAGTGGGTTCAGCATAAGCAGGACCAGCAAAACAAGGTCTTGTCTTCTCTTGATGAGTGAAAGAGGAGAGAAAGTTTGAGGTCATGTT